TAATAGCAATTTCATTGAATATATTCCCTCTTTAGTATTACAATATATTTTTGCTATTTTGGTTAATATATCGGTTATAATGAGATGTCAGTATTATTTTCATTTTTTCGTAATTTAAAAGCCATCGTACCACACACACACACACACACACACACACACACACACACATATATATATACATATATATATATATATATATATATATATATATATATATATTCGACGTCTTGAATTTGAACAAGTTAGGGCTACTTATTTTAACTTACCCAACTTTTCACTCATCTACTTAAACCAATCTATCATAAAAGCAGAAACCTTTTTTTAATATTTTTATTTGTATTTACGTTTTGTGTTCCATATATATATATATATATATATATATATATATATATATATATATATATATATATATATATATAAGTATATGATTTTATATATATATATATATATATATCCAAGTATATGATTTTATAACATATTTATGTTATAAATTTTTTAAATAAAGAATTATATATATATATATATATATATATATATATATATATATATATATATATGTCGGATGTTTACTTTTATTTTGCATAGATGAACGGCCATCCGTTGTATGGATTATAGATAGATGGACAGTTGATTATTTCCGTGTTTTGATGAATGTAAGTATTCAGCCTGATAGCTTTTACTTGTCCGCTGGCGTCATTTTTATTTGGAGTTTCTTGGAGCGTAACGTTAGACGAAACTTTCCTACACACGTACCAATGACAATGCCGAAAATGCCGATCAGTTCTTAATAATAGCCATTCAGGATGTCCACTACTTAAGCGATTTGAGTGCTGGTCATTTGTCAGGGGAATTCAAGCTCAAACTCTCCTTCCGAGTATCTTCCTCAATAATTTTCCATCCTGAACGTTTCTTTCTTTTCACAAACATTCTCTGTGTTTATCTCTGATTTCTAAGTTGACAGCCCCTCTCGATATATCGGCATTTTAAAGTTTAAATTATGTGAGTTGTATCTGACGGGTGACATCTCACTCGTCAACAGACCCACCAGCACCTGAAAAGGAGCGTCTATCTTCTTCTTCTTCTTTGAGCCGTGTTCATTCAGGACGTGACTGATATTGTCTCTCCACAACTTCCTGGTTTTTTAGCACTTAGCAGTGTTTCTCTAATAGTTAAGTAGGTTATCCTCTGCCTTTCTCTGTCCGCCTTGACTTCGACGTGTCTTATGAATGTTACATTTTCCAAGCCTTCTTTCCTCACTATGCACCTCCAAAACTTCAATTAACTCTTTCTGATTCAGAATATGTGATTTTTTGTTGTATTTTCTCTAGAACTTCACCATTACTCACATGTTCGTTCTATGGTATAAAATCAGCATACGTCTGTAGACCAAATATCTACAGCTTCGAGTCGATTCTTCATTTCTGAGGAGATTTTAGCATTCACAAATATGGGATGGCCGATATTACATAACAGTTCAGTATCCTTAGCGGCTCGGATTGAGGAATTGGAGAGCCGAGTTCGAATTCCAGTCGAATCCATTACATTCACTTACGTGCTAATAGCCTTGGGAAAGATATGAATCCTCTTCTTCTCCTCCCACCAAATATGGGTAAATAGCAGGACAGAACGGAATCTATAACTCTAGATGGCAACTAGTCTACCGCAGAAAGAAATGGCAACCTACTGCGAGAAAAAATCTGCCTCTTCAGTCATGTATCGAAAGATAAATTATCGCCGAAGCATATATCACGCATGGCCTATAACTGACTGATTCTACTTTCTGTTGTTTCTAACAAAATTCTCCTGATTCTTAATACTTTACCTTTCTTTTGGAAGGCATCATTCGATATTCATAGGAACATTCAGATTTTGGTGACGAATTTTCCTTCATTTCTTATAAGAATAACTCTATGGTGTAGTTGCCTTTTTTGCTTTCAATGTAATCTATGTTCACAAATCGTTTGTTCTCTTTCCTTCGGGGGTGATATAGATCGAATCGAAATATATTTTTTGATGTGTTAAACAGTATTTACTGACAGCTTCACCTTCTTTCAAGATTCGTGACATGAAAACAGTTAACTTTGCAGCATTTGTGACCGAAAACGCAAAAAAAATTGTGTCTTAGACAATGACTATAACGTCTTATAACGATAAAAAAGAAGGAAAATTACTAGAAAGTAATTGAAACTCACCTGAAGCGAGCTAAATGTGTAATGCTCCTCATGCCAATGACGCTTCCACCGAGCTTCTCTACGGCATATGACTTCACTGAATGTTGCTGTGTTCCTCTCGAATTTATATTTAAACTGGTGTCATCAGGAGATAATATGCACCGTTTCGGGGCCTTCCTCTCAACGGTTTCAGTTGCACACCGCCCCCCCCCTCACTGATGTGAGGCCCCATTATAACGATATACAAGTGTTGTAGATAAACTAATTCAAATGTGGAATGGCGAAATTAAATTTACGAAAATTCCGAAAAACGGCAAGCCTCGCGTTCTGAGAATAGAACGTGAACCTCATTGCGATAGAAACATTTCTATAATGATTATAGCTGAAATTTGAGTCTTCACTTCTGAAAAACAGATTGAAATACGATGAAGTCTTCCGAAAGTTGTGACGTTAACAGAATTTAAATCATAAAATACCAAAAAAACAGTTCTTTCACTTTAACAGAAATCCCTTTGCAATACGTTGTAGAGATATTACCACGCGGGAAAATATACATTTATAGCCAGCGTTTTCGAAGCTATCTAATCAGAAATTCATGAATTCGAGCAGAACGACATTTTTTACACTAATCTTTTACGCACATGGATCAGTTATAACACGTTTAGTACAAACCATAACGAAATTTATCATAGGATAGGCTACAGCAGGAGTAGTTTCTCAGTCTGAAATTCTAACACCGAGGATATCAGCTTCCGGCAGAGAGAAAGGCGAATTTTTGCATATTTTTTTCGTAAACACGCCCGTAACCTATAGAACTCAATTGATTGGGAGAGTCTTGCATTATTATTATCAAAATAAGTATGGCTAAATATTTTTAATCTAATTCCGGCTCATTCTTTTTTTTTTGTAATTATAATAATATTAAGAATTTAATATTTTTAATTTTAGTATTTTAATGTGTACATAAAATGAAAATAATAGGTAAAAATCTATTTGATAAAATCTTTTTTACTCTCGTCTCCGGCTAAATGGGACCTTCCTGTACAGATTTCTCCTAAGTACAGGGTGTTACAAAATTTTTTAACAAAATGTTCGGGCTCCAATCAAGGACCATAATTGATAGAGTAATAGAATTTTCATTTATTGAAAGGAAAAAAAAGATAACATTTCTAGATCTGAAACAAGACCTAAATATGTTAGGTGAATCCCTAGAGTGCACGAAAATTTATTTTTATTGCAGTCTTCGTTCTTTCTCTGTGTTGACTTACTGAATAATAATGCTGTGAATGTAGGTGTGTGACACACTTTATCAAAACACCTGCTACAAAATTTGGCATCAACATAAAATTGTTGTCTCTTTATTGAGGCTTAATTTATTGATTCGGAAATATAATTAAAGACGTCGAGACGCCATCTTGGGTGGTCTTCAAATTATGACAAGTACATCAACCTGGGCGGTCCGGCTTATGAACAGAAGCAACCTATACGTAGTCTAGAGAATCAATAAACCGATTCCAGTTATTAACATCGCAGAATCCAGACACCACTTCCTCAGTTAGCAATTTATTTCCTAATAGGATTTTAGCGCAGCTTCATTCAGAGTTTTTCGTTTCAGAAAATTTGTTGATTTAGAATTTAACTTCGTCTTTCATGACATTAAACCGTGAGCATCGTCTCTCAATGCTTAATTGGTGAGCAGAGAATTTCCTCAGTAGATTTCATTTTTTTACCAATGACAGGGCACCGTTCGTTCATGACTCCAGTCTAAATAACTGATGGTCAGTTCTTCGATTCAAGAGGTTACCATTTACCAGGATACCTTCGTTTCCTGAAGAATTTGCATAGTCTAGTTCTCCTGCTGTACATATCTAGATTCTTGACAAAATCCAAAGGAAGATTCTGTAATCCTGACCAGACATGTCCACATCAATCACTTTCTCACCGACGAAACATGACTTGACTCTGTCTTTTTTACAAATACTGTCATGGCAACTGATCTGATCAGTTTATGATTTAAGCGCGCTACTATATTGGCATCTAGGTCCCACCTTTTTGCTGTTGAAATATTTAAAAGTAATCGCCCCTTCTACTACAACGTGTGTTTTCTCGCACTCTCCTCGTGTGGATTTCCCTTCTGTTTACTTACTTTTCCTGATAACTAGAATCTTCAAAAATTTAAATTCAGCATCAGCCGCCATCTTTTGTCTTCTTGAGCCCTGTTTCTTTTTTATCTTTTCCTCAATCTTTCCCATTCTCAATCTTCTTACTCTCTTTCACTTTTACTTTCGCTTTCTTTCCCTCTAAGTCCCTGCGTTCTAGTGGCATTGCCCCCTTGAAACGATTAAAAAGAATATAGCTGGAAGAATCAACCAATAACAGTACTTTGTCTGCATGCAAGACTCTCGAAGAGAAAAAGAGACGAAAATAGTGACCAGTTCATCTAGGCACTGACCAGGCGTGTCGTTGCTTAACTTCGGTGATCGTTCGAGATCGGGTGTTTCAACGTGATTTGCACGCAAGCTCTTTATACCATTCGCACATCGAAGCTTATAGCACCTGATATTCCCAAACGGTCACCCATCTAGGTACTGACCAGGCGTATCGTTGCTTAACTTCGGTGATCGTTCGAGATCCGGTGTTTCAACGTGATTTGCACGTAAGCTCTTTATACCATTCGCACATCGAAGCTTAGAGCTCCTGTTATTCCCAAACGGTCACCCATCTAGGTACTGACCAGGCGTATCGTTGCTTAACTTCGGTGATCGTTCGAGATCCGGTTTTCAACGTGATTTGCACGCAAGCTGTTTATACCATTCGCACATCGAAGCTTATAGCACCTGATATTCCCAAACGGTCACCCATCTAGGTACTGACCAGGCGTATCGTTGCTTAACTTCGGTGATCGTTCGAGATCCGGTGTTTCAACGTGATTTGCACGCAAGCTCTTTATACCATTCGCACATCGAAGCTTACAGCACCAGTTATTCCCAAACCCATCTTGGTACTGACCAGAGTATATAGCTTGGCTAAAAAAAACATAGAAAAGAAAAGAAATCAGGCTCATCAACCCGGGGAAGGTTATAATAACCTAAGCTTAAGAATATGTGGACATTTATAAGGTCAATGGTTGATATACCCAGTTCCAAAGATTTTAACCCTTCATTCATAAAGGAAATTCTAACATATGTTCAATGAAAAAGACTTGAAACATTTTTTAAAGTCTTAAAATGTTTAAATATTTTTTTTTATTTTTGTTGAATCAAACAAAATATAAAACAAAATGAGACAGGGATGGTTTCTCCCGGAGTTTTTTTTTTATTATTATTAGGTTGAAATGTGAAAGGCCTGATATTCCCAAAGAAAATGTTACCACATCAACGCTTGCAAGATTCGGTCAACCAAAACAAAATTCAATATTTGGTGTAGGTAATATAACAAAGGAAGCTTTCGTCATCCATAAATAGAACCAAAAATTATACCTAGAATGAATTGAACAACACTGGAACGGATGTGCACGTCTCATCAATTCACGGAACATTGAAACGACAAAAATTTCACGAATGGTTGTACGAAATCAAAGTAAGTACTGAAAAAAGTATAAACATATTTTTTTTTAATTTTTATTGTAAAACTTATAGTGTCCATTAAATGAATATGAAAAAGACAAAAAAAAATGCTGAGGACGTAACCAGCAGATTTAGGATTTGAGAATGAAAGACACAAGGCGTTGTGTAAAAGTACCATCCCAACAGCGTAACACGACGGAAAGATATATTTTTTGATGGGGTTGATTATAAGATAGAGGTACGTCACAAGTACTGAAGTGAAAATAAATACGCTAACATATCAGTCCATTCTTTTAAAGAGGCCTTTTACTCTCAGCTATCCTGTGGAGACCTTCATCGTAGATAATTTATCCGAAAAATTCTTCTAAAAGCACCTCAGAATATTTAAAAAAAAAAAAGTCTCTTTGCTAATAGCTAGGAACGAAAGTTCCGACCGATTTTATTGTGTATATCAGAAATGATGATATTAATTCTTATAGAAACATTAAATCATTATTGTAACTCCCATTGCTTTCCGGGACCTCATTCCATCTTTCAACAAGTTTATAGTTAATACATTTAACAAATTCTTTAGGTTTTGTCATAAAATAAGAGATCAAAACTTGTTCAACCTCGTCTCTTGATGCAAAACATAGGCAATTCAAAGGCCATCTAGAGGGTTCTCATGATCACGAGATGCGTTACCCCTGAGGGTCGTAAAGGCAACGGATGTACCGTAGCCGCAGTAGCAGTGGTATTTCCTGGGCAAGATAGCCTGGTTTCGAATTCAGTTTTTCTTCTTTTAGGTTGGATGTCACCGAAGGATGTAGTGTGTTCTGCTATTTTAGCCATAGCTAAAGAAGAGATGGATTCAGACCTTCCCAAAGGGAGTTAGCACGTAAGTGAATGTAATGAACTCAAACTCTGATCACCAATTTCTCAATACGTCGCTATCTCTTACTTCATTACTGCCTGCCACTTCCCCAAAATTAACAATCAGAAAGAGAAAAATCTTGTGAATATGGAGAATGGAGTATTTTTTGCAACCGATTTTTCCTCAGAGATTGCATTATGGACTAAACATAATGCAATTTGAGGAAGGACATTATCTTCATGGTGAATTACTCTATTTCTCTTGACTAACGATGGACGTTTTCTATCTAAAACTGCAAAGTTGTTGGCAGTAGAAATCAGCATCGAATGTTTGATCATTTGCTCACTGTTTATAATGGATGATTCCTTGAAAAAATAACAACTTTTAAAATTCTAGCCCCAATGTGTATTTACAATGTATAAAAAGTTTATTTACAATAGTCAGTCAGTTATGTATCATGCCAGATACACGCTTAGGTGATCATGTATCCTTCGATACATGACTGACAAGACAGACTTTTCACGTAGTAGGTTGCCATTTCTTTCTGCAGTAGATCATTTCCCATCCCAGGCTATAGAACCCGTTCTGTCCTGTTATTTACCCATAGCTAGGGGGAGAAGAAGAGGATTCATACTTTTCCCAAGGATATTAGCGCGCAAATGAATCTCTATGTATAAAAGGTAGGATGTGTGTGTAAACGAATGCACGGCCGCAATTGTGGACGGATTTTCACCAAAATTTACATGCACATGCTCCAAGTTAGCGGGAAGGCCAAGACCGACATTGCATTTCCCAACTCCCATCGATAGTGGAAATAATCGATTTTTCATGCTTCTACGTCAGTTTTCATGTAGTTTGCGGCCATTTTGTACTGGCCAGAATGAGAGCCAATAGTTGGCTGCCACGAATAGGCAGGAAGATTCCATTGGCCAGCGTGAGAGCCAACAGCTGACTGACATGAACGTTAACTAGCATGAATGTTAACTAGTAAGTGGGAAAAATTTAAATCCACATGGCACTTTGCTCCAATTGGCTCATTCGCTTGCTTAAACTCAACGTTGATTCTGATTCCGCAGAACTGGGTTGGGTGTGAAAAAGTATTTGTTGTTAACATTCTTTTTTCATTCGGTTTTTCCAGTTACGAGTCCTTTTTTAAAGCTGATCGTTTTGTGAACATTTTGTTTAGTTCTTTTTTTTGTAACAGGTTTAATGTTTAGTATAGAGCTTAGAAAAAATTCGCAGTGTGAGAAGTAAGGCATGTAGCAACATCAGTATGGCAAAGGGCACTCCTTGAAAGGCAAGAAAGGGCAAAAATATTTTAAGTCAAGTGATAGCGATTGCTGTATGAGTCGTACGATTTTTGAATCAAGCACGGGCAACGCCGGGCCATGCTGCTAGTGTAATATATTCAACTAGAATTCGAATTCGGCTCTCCGATTCCTCAATCCGAAAAGGTATGAAAACTCTTCTTCTCCACCCAGATATGGAAAAATAGCAGGACAGACCGGGTTCTATAGTCTTGAATGGAAACTGGTCTACTGTAAAAAGAAATCGCAATCTACTGGGGGGAAAATAACTGCCTCCACAGTCATCTATCGAAAGATACATGATCGTCTAAGCGTGTATCACGCATGGCACATAACTGACTATTTACAACAAAGAAACTAAAATAGTAATAAAATCCCCCCATAATCCTAAATTACAGCAGAAACATAAGTAGACGAAATTAAAGCGAGACTAAATAATTAAAAAAAATTATTCACCCAAACACTTACACATACCACATTGCTACAGTCCCAACTGGCCTCGAGGGCGAAGAAATTTCTGTGCATCATGCCAACCACAATACGCGTACATTTCTATGGAATAGCGTATATTCCAGGGTCTTTTCCGATTCACCTCATGCAGACATATCAGTAAATACGAGTGAGGTCACTAAATAGGACAAGCATCCGTCATTTACCAGAGAACTGACATCTTTGTCTCATAACGGGACAGGGTTTAAATTAAAGAAATCGGCGACAAAAAATAAAAGGGGCTGTTGAGCATACATTTCCTAGGTGAGTAAACTTCTAGGCAAAAAACTAAAGAAAAACACCTTAATCTAACCTACTTTGGAGTAGTTTACCAATGTGTAATACAGAAAGACCAATACCCTGATGCATAAAGAACAGCAAAATGTCACTCCAAGTCAGCTCCTTTCAGTCGACACAGATGGAGTGAGCCCCCGTCTTTCTGTTCTAATCTTAAAGAACAAAATCAGTTGGGAAGAGATGAAGTTCACATCCCCATAGAATCCTTCTGTCGCGTCATCCACACTATGAATCGCATAACACATAGTAAGGAAAAGAACACATAATGTTCAGCCTTAATCAACAACAGTATCACGTTGCTACAGTTGCAACTGTCTTCATGGGCGAAGACCTTTTCGTGCATCATACCAACCAGCGTATCAAATGAAGGCTATCCTGAATAGTTCTATCTTTCACAGTGCAACTCACGGAACGAATCAGACTACAGAAGACCGCCTGTCCGAAAGTTACCTATCCTATCCCCAGTGTTCTTGTCCTTCAGTAGCAACTTCATCACAACCCTGGTGAAACGTTGAGGTATAGACACTTATTCAGTTATTGAAAAATCAGTTCCTGCAAAGGAACAAAGACGGGCGACTGGCTAAAGTACAGATCGTAAGGAAGATTAACATGTTCCGGAGTTTTCCCTGTCAACCAGATTCAGTGCTTCCAAAATCACTGACTCTATAATGGGACATTCGCACCCAGCCGTTTCCGCTGCCTTGAGGCGGGGGAAAGTCGACCAAATGGGGATCAAAATGAGTAGGAATCAAATAGGTTGAACAGGACTTGAAATGAATCCCTAAAAACCTCAACATGGCCGCGATTGTCGTTATGATTCGCCCATCCGATAATATAACGCATGCGATATGTCTTATGGATGCATTTCGAAGCTCTTCCGCATGCAATTCAGTCATCATATTTGTAGCTTCGGGAGAGATTCTTTTTAACTTAGCCCGGACTACCTGTGATTGATTCTTCTACATAAGGAAGGAAGTCAGCTCTCCACTAGCTACGATTACTTCCTCACTATCACAGGATTTGATAGCACGATCTACTTTTGACTCAGATGCTGTTTGCACTGCTAATCTAACTAGTTTGAGTCGCCGACTGTAGTCAGCAGTAAACGACCTAGGACTAGATTGCCACCACTTATTCCCAACCCAAGCCTCGGTCAGTTCCCGCAGTAATATCAAGGTTTGCCTGGAAACTAGTCTTAATCATCTTAGATTTATCTAAGTTTACACCAACTCGAACAACCGTATAGTCCGTGCAAACTATAGAATGAACTATGTAAAATTGGATAACCTAAGAACCCTACGTCGACTCGCTTAACTAGGATTTGTTAGAGGTAGCTAGAACACACCACTGAGACACCACTATTAGTTAAAATCTGCACTACCAGGTGCTAATTAAGGGAATGCAGGACAAAAGTCCTCGACAGAATAT